TTCCAAGCGACACAATCTTAATACCTACGATTAAGGCTTCATGTGTTCCAAGCAGCGTAGTCTAAGTCATGAGAATGATATACCATGGGAGGTCTTAGGAGATTCTTGATTCTTGGCTAAGGTAACTTACTCTCTTCTTGCTCCATCGTGGCCTTAGACTACTCCCCATGATAGACCATAAAGGTCAGGTGATTGATGCATGCATGAACATGGCATATCCTCATGTCATATAAAATAGGCCTTATAGAAAATAGTTGGTAATTTGGAGCATGTCTAGACCTTAAGCTAGGATATGACTACTTTTTTCGTTTTTAGGAAGTAAGCCTCAGAGGTTATCATGTCAAGCATCGTGTTTTAGCCTTGAAACTCTTCCAAAGTAACCCTTAATTTTCTCTCCATGAGTACATAGGTGGATTTGTCATAATTGTGGCATCCTGCTGGCAAATCGTGACGCAGGGCATCTCATTTAGGTGAGCAAAATAATAAGTCCATCATGGCAACATGCTCATGGTACATATAGCAGGGCATCCTACCTAAAGAGAATAAGGGACCTCGTGGTACACTTCATGACAGGAGATAATGATTACTTCGGGCATGGATCCTAGCAACTTGTTAAACATAATATTTGCATTAATCTAGGTGTTTTCTTGGATTCTTGATGATCCTAGGTTTATGCATAACAACTTGGATCAAGCTTGGAACTTATAAGTTCTTCTTACGAATAGCCCGACACTATCTTGCTCACATAGAATCTTATTAGCAACCAAGGGTAATTGTTGAGAATCTCTTATTTCATGGATACCAAGTTAGTCATCCTAGGAGGTAAAAGTCATATGGATCGTGATACACGTTTTTCCATATATCTTGGTTTCGTTACCTAACATTTTCCAATGATTACCAAACTTCATTACCTCATACAACCTCCTGAGATAAGGATTCATACAACACTTCATAATATTTAGAGGTCATTTAGGGCTACACCCCTAGGTAGTATTCCTCAGGGGCATTATGGTCGTTTTACCCCTAATTCTTGGTTTTGTTACTTAATAACTTCGAATGGCTTTCAAACTTCAATAAATCATCGTATATCATAAAATAAGATCTACTGTAGAGTTTCATAGCATTTGGAGGTCATCTAGGTCCAGAACCGAAGGTAAATTACTTTAGGGGCATTATGGTCATTTTACACCGTTTCTAGGTTTACCTACTTATCCTTATCCAATGCACCACATTTTCTATATAAACTCAACATTAAAATTTCAGAAGCAGCCAGGAGTATGTATGGAAATCTATGCAATTCCTACAAGTATTTCTTAACAAAAAGTCTAAGGTGGCTAATTATCTCGTCATCGACACTCAGGACCTCCATAATTGAGCTTCCCGTATCCGAATTACTTCAAATTTCCTTCCACAAACTCCTTATTGTGTCTAATTTCTAAAACCAAAATTTTTTCGTGAGAATCAATTTGAAAGGGGTTAAAATTAAGAAAACCTGAGGGAATGTAGGATTTTTGGTTGACTTGGCCGGTTTAGTTGAACCGACCACATCATCGTCTTCTTCCTCTGGACGGGAAGAGGACACTCACGTCCATTCGCACTGCAATCTGAAAGTTGAGTGGCACTACTCCAAGCACGCCGTTTCTTTCCTAAATTTCTTCATGAAACTTAAAGATGGTATTACAAGGAAGAGCTGGAGATTAATTTCATACCTTCTCATGGATCGTAGCCTAAGATATTCGCCTCAAAAGTTCGTCCAAAATCTTATTTCTCGCTGGAGCAAAAACAAAGGATTTCTTATTGGGTAGCCGATCTAGGGTTTTTCAAGGCCTAACTTCTTCTTAATGGAACCTCTTCCATATCCTTTCCTCAAGCTAAAGGAATTGGTTTGGAGGAACATCTTTGAGTGTGGGACCTTAATTTCTAGAAATCCTTCTCGGTATGCAACTTACACGAAACGCCAAATTTTCGATCTCTTGGGTAGCTTGTTCTACGACGTTTCAGCTCTTAATTCCTTTATCAAAGTTACTCAATTTCTTCCTCTGAAGCTAAAGGAATCCTTAATTTGAAGGAAAAGGGTTCATAGATAGGAATCCGAAACTTCCCTCCAAATTTTACCTGAAACGAATTTCCTTCAATTGGGCACACTCTCGAAGTTATTTCTCTTCGTGGCCTTCTATTAAAACATTCCTTGGAGGTGCAAACACTGATTAGGATTGTTCTTTCTCGATGAATCATCATGTATCCTCAGATTGGTTTTTCCAAGTTTTCTTTGAAACTCTTCAATGGCGGATTGGATTGGGGAAATGGTTTCTGGCACTTTCAGTACTCTATTGCTTCATAGAACTTGAGGGTAATTCATTTTAGAAACTGTAGGAACAAGATTGAAGAGAAATGGTTGAGAATTTTCTCGTATTTGGAAGAAATCCGAGAGTAGGAGACCAAAAATCTAAATGCTTATTGTCTTTGATTGGGTGCTCGACCTTGCTCGATTCTTGTTCTAAACTATTGCCCCAAGTTTAGACTTTATAAGGAAACCTTCCACCGATGTTGAAACCTCCAAAACCATCGTGATTTGGAGATTGAACTTTCTAGATAATCTGTCGAAAATATCAGCTCGGTTCACAACCTTGCAGACCTTGGTTTTGAATACTAGCCGTTGGATGTGATGGTCTGTACATGTTCTAGATCATATCCAATTTTGGAGGCGATCCAACAGTTGCAATTTTAGTTTTGAAGCATTTTGTTCATATTGTCACCGTAGATGTTGTGATTTTTATCAGAGTGGCATTTCTGTAATTATCCATTCATCCAAAGGTATTTTGGTAACTTTTCACTGTCTGAATATTTTTATATTCTTTCCACCAAAAATCCATAATTTTCCTAAACTTCTTCATTTGGTAATTTTTTCCTTCTTGAGTATCTTGAAGTTCTTCTAGAAAAGGAATTAAAAATCTGGAGAGATTCTTGATAATTGGAAAAACGACATTTTTGCTCTTTTCACTTACTTTTTCCTTTCCAATCTCTTGTCAAAAGCCTTTTAACTCATTGAGATTACTTGTTAGGGTATAGGAGTGACCTGCTTAAGTCCCTTGTCCTTGTTTAATCATTCAATTTCTTCCCTTTATGATCCTTTGAGTCTTACATGGGCAGCTTATTCTTGTTAGAGCTAATTCCCTTTATTTTTGGGGTGCAAAATTAACGACCCAGCACGTGGCTTCTCCCTCAAGTGATGCGTGTCTCGCATGCAAATGTTGACTACTTTTCAGTTGACTCAATGCAGCTTGTCTCGACTCGACTAGGTGTAGCTTCTCAGCTCAAAACTCTATAATTCGACTCGGTATAGACATTTTGATACTTATTAATATAGCTTTTACCCTCCCAGAGCTTAATTTGACTTTAATTAAGGTAATTAAGATCAGTATAGCATCTTATTTTCATGTTCAAGTTTATTTATGCTAGAAATGTAAGTTATTAATGAAAATGAGATGGA